ATTAATACATTTAAGTATGGCAGAACCCAAATAAAGTTAGATCGTGTAATAAAAAAGCAACACAGAATATTAATCTCAGTCTAAAATCACAATTCAGACAACTTAGAAATAAGGTAAACACCCAGCCCTCCACCCCCACCACACCCCCATCCAAAATTTTTAAAATTGCTTTTTCTGAAATTACGATAACATTAAAAACATGGGATACAACCAAAGGGAACATGGACATCTAATTACACACACACACACACACACACACACAATAATAATAATAATAATAATAATAATAATAATAATAATAATAATAATAATAATAATAATAATAATAATAATAATAATAATAATAATAATAATAATACAACCGGCTCCAGAATACTCAAAAGACGATGGAACTATGTGCTGATTAGATAAAGCAAAGTGTTAAGGCACTATTTAAACTACAATATCAATAGTTAATGATACATGAAGTCTATTCCAAGGAGAATTAAATATTATCAGAAACAAAGATTATGGAAGATATTCTAAATATAATAAAAACTATAATCATTCAAAAGGCTCGACAAGATCAGTTATCTAATGCTAAAATGTGCTTCCCCAGCCATTGTCAAACATCTGTGCATCTTATATAATAAATCAGTATATATTTGGAAAGAAGCTATTGCAATGCAATTGTTTTATTTAATGGGGGTCGTAACGATCCATCCAACTTATAATTTAATGGGAGCCCCCATGCTCCTTCAAACATTTTATGTAATAAGGGTCCCAATAATCCATCAATCTTTTCACTTAATTGCGGTCCCAACGATCCGTCAAACATTTTATTTAATGGGGGTCCCAACGATCCGTCAAAAATTTTACTTAATGGGGGGGGTCCTAACGATCCTTCAAACTTGTTAAGCTGAGCCAGGAAAAGAATAGAAAGATCTGCATTTAAATTTACTTACAACCATTTAAATTCGAATACTCTCCTTATAAATATCAGTTTGGCTCCATCCCATGAGTTGGACACAGTTCCAACCGAGCCAGAGATTATAAGCTTTTACATTTTGTTGTGCATCAAAAATATCTTGGTCCAACTTTCACCAACTCTGGCAGCTTTTCGAAAGCTATTGATCATATATATATATATATATATATATATATATATATATATATATATATATATATATATATATATATATATATATATATATATATATATATATATATATATATACTTTACATGCATATAAACTGCTGCATGTTTTGAGGTCCATTCTTGGTAGGAAAATATTAGAATGAAGCTATAGAGTATGATGATGATCGCTCTGAAACCTGACCCAGTAAGACTCGAAACACCAACATATAGCGGGTAGAATTCTGTGTGTGTGTGTGATTTTTAACGTACTTTAACAATTTTTCAATAATATCGCTACGATATCTGCAGTGTGGCAGTTTGAAGAGATGTCTAGCACTGCGGCATCATGCCGCAGACATGTAGCATGATGTCTCACCCAGTCACATTATCCTGACTCCAGGCCGACCATTCCTAACACTAACCTCTTAATTCTGAGCGCCTAGCGATGCTGCTGTTAGTACCATTTTTGTAAGTCTTTGGTATAACTCAGCCAGGGATCGAACCCACGTTCCTAGTTAAATTATAAATGAACTATTTGCAGTGCTTCTACTACCAACATTTTCCGTGAATCCGGTTAGCTGCCTGGACGGGGATAAGAAAATTTTATAATTTCTAATTTTTTGGATAAATTGTATATGATTTATCTTCCTCTTACCTCCCTGATCAAGTATTTCCGTAAGCTGGACATACTACATAACATAATTTGCGAAGTAAACATAATGTTCAACAAATACATACTTTATTAAAATTCACCCAGAAATTCCAATATACTTTCCAAAACAGACGTTTAAAAAAGCTGTCGTATCCAGTACAACTAGAAACAGATAATTTTACATGTAAACGTAAAATTTCACCATTTTCCAATTCTGTCTTGATTTGTAATTATAATGTCAGCAGGAAATCATCAATTATTATTATTGGAAGAGAGACAACTGCAGTGATTTAGGTAATGATTAAATTTAAAATCTTCTTACAGAGAGCATAATGTGACTGCCTACAATTATAATTTTAAATGTAAGAAATGTACAATATAAAGGATGAGACTAATGTATAACTTAAATCAATTATAAATCCCTGTGAGTACCAGTGTATTGCTGTTTAGATCAGCCGAGCTATAAAAAATGACCAATTTACCAGCATCTTTGAAATCTTCAGGATACATGAAAAATTCCTGAAGATTTCAATAATTGTCTAAGACAAACTTTCTATTGACTTGATCTCCTTCCAACACCTGTTACTAAATCCCTTTATCGTTTTCTCCGCCACCAATATATTATCCCCCTTCTTTTTTCTCTTGAGTTAATTTACACTTATTTTGCAATGAGTTTTCTTAATTTTTTTTTCTTTAATTCGGAGCTATTAGGTTACTTTTTGAAATTGTTTTCGTTATTTATTTGTATTAATTCACACTTAAGTATATTTAATGTAGTTTTACCCATTGCTACTTTCGTGTATCTTCTTAAGTACTTCGGAGAGAGCTCTTGCCAAATTGTTAGAACTGGTATATGTGGCAACAAAATAGGTTCAAACAAAGCAATTAATACGCAGTATAAGTAGCATGAATGGAATTTGTCGCCGACTAGTATGGCAAGGAACCGAACTTTTTAACAGAGGTTGTATGCAGGGCCGTATTAACCAATCGGCACAGAGACACACTGTGCCTAGGGTCGTCGAACACAATGCCACTGAAAAGTGCATACACAGGCAGTTACGTCAGTGTCATTCATTTTTGTTCAGTAAGTGTCCAGGGCCTACAAGGGACGTAATCCGGCCCTGAGTGTATGAGATGTATTTAAGTAAAAAATAAAAATCGGGTTGACGGACACTGTATTTACTTGTACTTCATTGGTAGTTGTGCAGTAATTTTAATCGTTTTCAAAATTATCTCAGGTATTGCCGGTCTTATGATGAGTTTTATCTTTTAAATTGGAAATGTTCTCGTGTCTCCTACAGATAATTTTAAAACGGGAACAAAAATTATTTGGTCTAGTGGTTCTCACATCTTCACTACTGAAACAAATCGAAATAAATGAAAATTCACTCGCTTGAAGCCTGGTAAAAACAGCCCATATTACGCAAGAAATAATTTAGCAAGAACAATTATGTACATATGGAGGTATTGCTGGGAGTACTATGGGCCGTGCCACCAGTAGTTTATATCGTTCAATAAACCTAGCTGTAAACGAGAATTCGTTACCAGGGAAATGAGATAAACAGTAATTAAAGAGATACTGGACGTATTTGACTTCAAATCAAGTCGATATGATACACAATTTGCCACCATTGTACCTAGTTCAGTTCGCCCGTTGAACAGAATCGCAACTATATCTCCCAGACGCCTTGTAATGGGGTTCATAATTTGGACCGATTTATCTCAAACGATGGCTTGACAATCATTGTAGATAACCAACCAATTTAAATCATTTTATTTTTATCATTTACATAAGTTTCTACAATAATCAAAAGGTAATGCAGATATCGGCTACATGTGGTTTAATGGACACATTTCCATCATACAAGATATGTAAACACACTTGTCAGTCTTAATTCTTACAAGCGGTACTTTCACATGAAGATAATGAGAGAAGCATTTTTTTTCTAATGAGAAAGATTCGAACGATATCTACCTCTGTTGTAAAAACTGATTTATAATAAAATTCCATGATGGATGAAATTCATTAAAAATAATTTCATATTTCATTAGATGGTAACATCGTTGTATTGGTTATCAGCTATGGAGGAGAAAATCCCTTTCCAGTCTGAGGCCGAACTATTTACCCGATAAAATGATCATGCAGTAACCTGTTCCATCGTTGTAATATATTGTTAAATCGTTTCGTCTCATTACATTCCGAAAAGCATTGGACAGATTTCAAGTTGGGCATACGATCATTTGGCAAAAACAAGAATTTGCAAGAAGGGGGAAGAGGGTAGAAATCGTCTATTTTAAAATGGTTAAAAATATACCAGAATAAAACAGTATTTGAAAGGCATTGAATCGAAAGATCATTCCTTTATAAAGTTTATGAGAGTGTAGTAAAATATTTTACCTTGGCAAGGCAAACTTTCATCTCAGCAATTCATCAAATCTTACATAAACTTTTCACTTTCTATATTCTACATCGCGTATCGATTACTTACCTGCATTTAGTATAAGTTAATGTGTAAATAAGGGAGAAACTATAACTAATTTTTTAATATTTTTATTACATTTTTTTAAAAAATATTTTAGATAATATCTTTACAACATGTTGAGAACGATATCATCTTCCAGATTTATAATCGCAAACGAGGTGGTGTCAGCAATTGGAGTTGACTTAAGTTGGTTGAGGTGAATGCCTAAAGCTCCAGTTACTTACAAGCTATCAGCGGTCAAAATGGAACAATGTTTAAATGTTGTTGGAGAAGTTATTTTACTATGCTATACTAAAGAGTTATTATATATGTATAAAATTTTATCCCCACCCCCAAAAGAAATCTAATTTTAAGTGGACTGTTCACATTTTGAGTTCCCTTGATCAATTGGAACATTCTCGGTCTTTTCCGTTTAATCGAGAAAGAAATCTCAAATGTGTAATTTGCCGCCATCGTAGCCATTGTTGACTCCAAGAAAGAACAGAGGCAATTCAAGTGTGTGTGTGTGTGTGTGTGTGTGTGATTTTTAATGTACTTTTAAAAAATTTCAGTCATATCGCCATGATGTTTGCAGTGTGGCAGTTTGTAGTGATGTCTAGCACTAGGGCACCATGCCGCAGACATGTAGCATGATGTCCCACCCAGACACATTATCCTGACACCAGACCTACCAGTCTTAACACTAACCTCGTAATGCTGAGCGCCAAGCGAGGCAGCTGTTAGAACCATTTTTGAAAAGTTTTTTGTATGACTCGGCCGGGGTTCTAACCCGCGAACTCCCACCTCCGAGGCGGACATTCAAACCACTAGGCCACCGGAGCGGAAAAAGTGAGGGTGTATTTAAAATTACCAGAAAATCGTATGCTTGTTAGAGTTAATGTGTAATTAAATTTACAATGTTTTGCATTTTAAATCTGTGTCTTTAAAACATAACCTTCAAGAAATCAACAGATGATAATAGTAATAGAATACTACGTCTACATAATGGGTTTTTTAAAAAGCCAAGTCGCACATATGGATACGCATAGACAAACATAAAAGGAAAAAATTACCTAGGAACACATGTTTCGAAAACACAAGCATATTGAATCAAGTGTCTTAGGTCATTAGAATCAATCAGAAACATTGTAGTCTTCCGTTGATGTTTATTTGGAAACCTTATGGAGACTTGCAGTAGTTATCCTGGACGTTACTGACCATTTGGAAACCTTATGAGGACTTGCAGTAGTTATCCTGGACGTTACTGACCATTTGGAAACCTTATGGGGACTTGCAGTAGTTATCCTGGACGTTACTGGCCATTTGGAAACCTTATGGGGACTTGAAGTAGTTATCCTGGACGTTACTTACCATTTTACTTAATGAAATATACTCAAATATTGAAAAATTTACAAACATAAAAGAAAAATAAAACATACCTGTTAAAATCCATCTTGCAGATGATCACTCATGGGAAAGTGTTTCCACAAAACATTACAAGAGCACAATGGACATTTGAACATTCTACATATCACCGAAGCTGTCCATGTAGCAAACGTGCATGTTAGTCCAAATATTTAAATATTTTGGCCCTCTCAAGTGACCAGAGTCCAGTGTGTGAATTTATTGGAAAATAATACCATTACACTACAAACTGTCAGCGCTTGTCAAATTTGCCCTTGTTAACGTTCAAACAGGGTGTGTAGGGATTGATTTTTTTCTCAAGACTCGGTTATTCCTATCACCTGGGACATGTAAGCGCTCCAGTTTGCGGCTAAAATGACAAAGAAATGACAGAAACGCCTTGTCAAATTCATGACCAGGGATATAGGAAACGATATAAAGAATGTTTTTACATACGAAGAAGGTTAACAGGAGTCGCGATGTCATATACCATACAGATCAACAAAGATATCACATTAGAAGTTAACATAGTTCTAGACATTAATTGTTTGCCTCGTATATTTATTATTTCATCACTGTTCTTGCTTAATGAATTACGGTAAATAACCTTATTGGGAAAGCTTCAAATGAACGCGGCTGATCTACAGGAAAACATGTTTTCTTGTAGGTAAATACGATAAAACCAGAGGCAGCGTGTAATGGACATATCTTCATAGACCTTTATCAACGGGTTCACGCTCCTTATTTCACGCGATCTGCAGTATGCAGGTTTCACTGGCAACTAAGTGCGTTACACAGTTAAACAGAGAGACCGGTGAATTGTTACGTCACATAATCTGACCCTAGGTATGACGCATCATTCACAGAGACAGCGAGTAAGTCCCATAAACACCAGTTTGTGGAAAAGAACGAATACAACTAAATTATTCTGTGTGATTTTCACAAACATCGATGATGTACCTTTGAGGTTTAATTACAACTGTTTCTTTCAAGAACAAAGGCCACAAAAAATAAACCAAAAGAGGCAAAGATAATTTTCCACCCCACCCCAAATAAAGCAACTTTTAATTGCTTTCTGTCTTCCAGACACATTACCACTTTAGCAATGCATATTTTTTAGTATATTCTGTCTCTTCGAGTTCTTTATGTAGATTTTCTTTAAAGGAATAAGAGAGATTAACTTATCTTATATCCCTGTTTGAAACTGACACTAGGTACATTGATAAATGCAGCTGGTGTCAGCTTATGTCAAGAGAACCGCTGAGCTCTCTCTGACGAAATGCGCCTAATTTGACTCTAATACGTCTGTAAGTGTTTTTGTTATGTTTTAGATATGAATATATTATATCCCCCACATACATTTATTCTGTGTATCTACTTAACGTAGCTGTGTCACCTGATTAGTCTATGCTTTGTATTTGCGCTGGATGTTACATTCACAACATCTAAAGAATTCAAAGATTAATTATCTGTATAAAGGAATAAAGCGTTAAGTGTTTACTGAAAAGGTCACCTGTGAACGAGTAATTTTCCTACTTTCATGTCAGTAATACACAAATCTCAAAGATGTTGCTCGTGTTCATGAAAGATTTGCTTGTCTTAAGATATTATGAGAATTTCCAAGATTTTGTATCGACGGCCAGATTAAAGCAATGGTAAAGCTCTGTCTTCGCGCATATAAGGCTTTGGGCTAGTTATTCAGAGTCACCATGCCAACACTTTAGTCTCACCTGTCTAATGAATGGCATTGGGTCAGAATACTCAATACCTTCATATTGCTACTCTAACGTCCAAAATGTTTGTGAGTTCATGACAATAGACGTACTTGGGTTAAGGGAGTTTGGGGGTTTTACACTTGGACAAGTCACGTGACACAGGTAAATCTTTGAACATATTCTTATTATACATATGCGGCACATATTTGTAAATTGGCTTTCAGTACCTAGCGAAAAAAATACATACATACATACATACATACATACATACATACATACATACATGCATGCATGCATGCATGCATGCATGCATGCATGCATGCATGCATGCATACATACATACATACATACATACATACATACATACATACATACATACATACATACATACATACATACATACATACATACATACATACATACATACATACATACATACATACATACATACATACATACATACATCGAGAGTCATTGAAAACCATCATAAAAAGGTGCATTGAGTTTAACAAATCGGTGATAAGTTTACTTAGGGAATCGCTTATTAAAGCCAGGAAAGATACAGAAATCTTCGCACATAAATAGATAAGTAGTGTATATTAACAATGATTCTGGGACTATACACGAGCTTTTAAAGTGCAAAAATATAGTAAACTAGTTTGTCAACACGATCAGGATTATAAGGATAGTTGCTATTGGCAACACCGTCAGAGGGTTATGGATTGTCCCCACCACCAGGAGTGTATGAATGGGTGCTGTTGTCAGTACCACCAAGCTGAAATGTAAGGTTCCTATTGTCAACGCTATCAGGATAACATGGATGGCTGCTGTTGTCAACACTCAGGATAACATGGATGTTTCTATTGTCAACACTATCAGGATAACATGGATGGTTCTTATTGTCAACACTATCAAGATAACATGGATGGTTCCTATTGTCAACACTATCAGGATAACAGGATAACATGGATGGTTCCTATTATCAACACTATCAGGATAACATGGATGGTTGCTATTGTCAACGCTATCAGGATAACATGGATGGCTGCTGTTGTCAACACTATCAGGATAACATGGATGGCTGCTATTGTTAACACAATATGAATGATATGATTGGCTGCGAAAATTCATCTATATATTTAGTGTTAACACTTTTCGAAATAGGTTTGTCGCTCAGAAAAATAAACCACAATGTCATGTATCTGCTTTCATGGATGTACTCCAAATGTACGTTTGTAAAACCATTTTCAACAAAGTACAAATACACGATCAGGTAAATATTTGCCATCTTAACGGTACATATGCACATTATCTATACACATGTACCGGTGCTACGCTATATTCCGGTAGCTGGGGGAAGTGGGAGAGGACGGGAGAGAGGGTAGATGGGTTTCTCAGCGAACGCGCTAACAACAAGATTTTATTTTCATATTTTAACGTTATTAAAGAAATATCAGTTTTCTTCAGTTTAGTCTGAATATATTGAATCATCAGAAGGTATCATATATCCAAACCTACAAATAATGACATATAATTGTCCACATGTCCAGGAAACATGTATTCACAGTAAAAGAAATGGTCACAATTTATTGCTTTGTAAAGAAAATCTCTATGAGAGAGCCAGATACTAATCAGTCTGTGGCCTCTCCATTGGAAGAAAATCAACGAGATTTTTGCTATCCCAAATAGAAATTGAAATATGACAAATCTTCATTGGACACTGTCCATTAGATTTCCTCGTGGAAGAGTTCGTAGTTTTGCTATTTTCTCGTGTACACTGTCTTGCACCATGATAAACAAATCGTGAATGAGGTATTGTTTTAATCAAATTTAATAGCGAATCTTCAACGAGGAGATAAAAAATGTGTATATATTGTTTGAGATTTCCACCATAAAGAGCAGAAAATATGTACATGTACAGTATTATGTTAATTTTTTGAGAAATGTTTCCTTATTCCGTAGCGACATGGCTGATGCTATTACAGCTGAATTAGACTTCTTTTTTTTCACTTTTTTATTATCTTATATGGTTCACTACACTGATTAAGCCAGTATCTGGTAATGCACACTAGATTCTAAGAAAACAATTCCTCTGATTTTCCAGGAGATTTGCTAAACAGTGAAGAATGATAGGTCTACATGACTTGTATTGCATTAATGTATAAACAGAATAGATTTACTGAGTTTGTCCTTTGATTCATGCATAGGTTGACAAAGCGAACGGGCGTGAATCTGCCGGTTCTTGAAAGGTCTCTTAAAGCGACATTTCTAGACATTTCATTCAAATGCGACTGATCTTTAAAAATGCAACATAACATATGCCGATTTTTGTATATGTTGTGATCCGACTAATGAATAACATAGGGAAGATATCTTTGGTGTACCTGAAAGTTATAACTAATGTTATGGATTGCATCAAATATGTAGAAAAATTTATTTTTTTTTAAAAAAATACAAAGAACGTAATTATTACAATAGTGGCTTGGACTAACATAAAAGTAACATACATCGAGAATACATGTATTTGATAATTCTGTATCAAACGTTATAAATAATTATTTTATGCACGTAATTTCAATAGTTAAATTAATCAAATTTTTGGTATACATTTAAAGAGTTAAGTGCTGAAAAATATCACATTTTTCTTTTAAAATTCAGGAAGCATCATATTTATACCTTTTTTCTTTCTTTCCAATGCAACAACAATATGCATTTTTTTTTGT